GGCTTTCCAGTTTCGACTACGGAGTCCTGTCCGGAAGCCCTGGCCGTCGCAGCGAAGCCAGCTATTTATATCACCTCCTCCATCCACGGATCTCGCCTGGGCCTGGTCGTGGCCCCTGGTGGGGAGAAAAGCTTGGGAAGCTTAGCAGAGGGCCGAATCGGGCGTCTGAGACAGGCCGGTGGAGCGCACCAATGGCACTAGACCGCCATCGCTGCACACGCGTCGCATCCACAGCATCATGGGGATATTCACTCGCCCATCCAGGGGCGCATGGGTCTGGCGGCCGGCGCGCAGTGGCTCAGGCGTCCTGCCGGCCTATCGCCTGTCGATCTCGTCTCCAGAGGGGGGTAGAAGTATCAGCCCGTCTCAGCCCTCGCTTTCTCTCACCCCGGTCTTTCTTCCTTCTCATCCAACTCAGACACAGTCCTTTCACGCTGCGGACCTCTTTCTTTTCATCCCAGCGTCTGTTTTATTGTTCGTCGGCTCTCTTCCCAGTCTCTCGCTCATTCCATTTCATTCTTTTTTTTTTCTCTCTTCCCTTCGTATCGCTCGCTACTCACCTGCTCAGGGGTTGGTCGTTGGATACGGTGTCTCTGAACTGGTGGAATCCCGTTTCTGTCCATTAGAGGGTGCTGCACCCTGTTCGTTTTCGTGTCTCTTTTCTCTTCTTCCAGTTACTTGACCATGAAATACTCGCTCCTCGCCGCCGGCGCTCTGCTGGCCGGCACTGCGCTGGCCGATGTCGACCCCATCGTCATCAAGGGCTCCAAGTTCTTCTACAAGACCAATGGCACCGAATTCTACATCCGTGGTGTTGCCTATCAGGGTGAGTGGATATCAGATCGTCCCGTCATGTCTCCAGAGTGAGGATTGACAAGTGCGCAAAACAGAGCCCGTCACCTCCACCACCGGCTCGAGCGACTTCATCGACCCTCTGGCCGATATCAACACCTGCAAGCGTGACATCCCCTACCTGATGCAGCTTCGCACCAACACGATCCGTGTGTACGCCGTCGACCCCACCAAGAACCACGACGACTGCATGAACGCGCTGGCAGACGCCGGTATCTATGCCCTCATCGACCTTGGCTCGCCGAATGACTCCATCAACCGTGACAGCCCATCCTGGGACGTTTCCCTCTACAACCGTTACACGTCCGTCATTGACGCCTTCGCCAAGTATTCCAACACCCTGGGTTTCTTCGCGGGCAATGAGATCGCCAACTCGGACAACACGACCGCTGGCATGGCCTATGTCAAGGCCGCTGTCCGTGACTCCAAGGCGTACATCGAAGGCGAAGAACTACCGCTCCATTGGTGTCGGCTATGCCACCGCCGATGTCGAGGCGATCCGTGACCAGCTCGCTGAGTACATGAACTGCGGCAACGAGGAGGACCGCATCGACTTCTTTGGCGACAACGTCTACGAGTGGTGTGGTGACTCGGCTACCTTCGAGACGTCTGGTTACAACAAGCTGGTCGACTTCTTCCAGAACTACTCCGTGCCGTACTTCTTTGCCGAATACGGTTGCATCACGGTCCAGCCTCGCACCTTCAACAACGTCCCCGTCATGTACGGCCCTCAGATGGAGAACGTCCTGGACGGAGGCATTGTCTACGAGTACTTCCAGGACACCAACAGCTTCGGTTTGGTCTCGGTCGACGGCAACACTGTCCACACCATGACCGGCTTCTCGTCCTACTCCAAGGAGATTGCCAAGGTGTCTCCCACCGGCGTGAACAGTGCCTCCTACACGCCCACCAACACTGCCCCGGCGGCATGCCCCACGGTTGACTCGGTCTGGCAGGCCGCCACGAACCTTCCGCCGAGCCCCAACGCCGACCTGTGCAACTGCATGATGGAGTCGCTGTCCTGCACGCTCAAGTCCGACGTCACGGACGAGCAGATCGGCAAGCTCTTCGGAACCGTCTGCGGCTTCGGCAACGTCTGCGAGGGAGTCACCGGCAACGCCACGACTGGCAAGTACGGTGCCTACAGCATGTGCGAGGCCAACCAGCGTCTGGCCTTCGCCATGAACGTGTACTACGAGCAGCAGAAGGCCCAGGGCAACGCCGAGTCGGCCTGTGACTTTGGCGGCGCCGCCACGACCCAGGCGGCCAAGTCCCCCAGCGGCACCTGTGCCTCGCTCATCAGCCAGGCCGGCACCGCGGGCACTGGCACGGTGACGTCGTCTCCGACCGGCGGCTCTGGCTCTGGCGCTGCTGCCTCGGGCTCCAAGTCGTCCGGCGCGGCCTTCCACCAGGCCTCTCCTCTGGCCATCACGGTCGGCTCGTGGCAGCTGGGTGTGTACATCCTGACCGCTGTTCTCAGCGGCATGGGTATGATCCTGCTGTAAACAGCGTACGTGCCGTGTCGTACTGTTA